TTTCGGCATCACTTCTCTCTCCCCCGCTGCTGTTACTGTAGCGTCTCTCCCTTCCCTTTTTTCTCTGTCTGTCTGTCTGTCTCTCTCTCTCTCTCTCTCTCTCTCTCTCTCTCTCTCTCTCTCTCTCTCTCTCTCTCTCTCTTTCTCTCTTCAAAAACGTCAAAGGAACCGCGGCGCACACACATATCCATCTCGGCCAGCGGGTAAAATATTTGACGGGGCCAGATTTCAGCCGGATGACGTCATCAAGGCCCGCGGGTGTACATGAGGTTTTTGTGAGGCCTCTCGTCTCATTAACACACACGCTCTAGTCTATTTGGCAAGTCTGGGGCAGCCCGGGGACTGACAGGCATCAGAGAGAAAAGGCCGCAGGTTCAAAGGGCCTTTTACGTTTTTTTTCTTTCATCTTTCCACATTGTTAGTACGTCTTTCATCTTTCCACATTACTGGTACGTCTTTCATCTTTCCACATTGTTGGTATGTCTTTCATCTTTCCACATTACTGATACGTCTTTCATCTTTCCACATTGTTGATACGTCTTTCCACATTGTTCATACGTCTTTCATCTTTCCACATTACTGGTGCGTCTTTCAATACTTTCATCTTTCCACATTGTTGGTGCGTCTTTCTTCTTTCTACATTGCCGGTACGTCTTTCCACATTGCTGATACGTCTTTCCACATTGTTGATACGTCTTTCCACATTGTTGGTACGTCTTTCCACATTGCTGGTTCAGTTTAATTTCCACATTGCTGGTACGTCTTTCATCTTTCCACATTGCTGGTACGTCTTTCATCTTTCCACATTGCTGGTACGTATTTCTACATTGTTGGTACGTCTTTCCACATTGTTGGTACGTCTTTCCACATTGCTGGTACGTCTTTCATCTTTCCACATTGCTGGTACGTCTTTCATTTTTTCACATTGCTTGTACGTCTTTCATCTTTTCACATTGCTGGTACGTCTTTCCACATTGCTGGTACGTCTTTCATCTTTTCACATTGCTGGTACGTCTTTCCACATTGCCGATACGCCTTTCGTCCTTCCGCATTGCTGGTGTACGTCTTTCATCTTTCCACTTTACTGGTACGTCTTTCCACATTGTTGGTACGTCTTACATCTTTCCACATTGTTGGTACGTCTTTCATCTTTCCACATTGTTGGTACGTCTTTCATCTTTCCACATTGTTGGTACGTCTTTGATCTTTCCACATTGCCGGTACGTCTTTTCACGTTGTTGGTACGTCTTTCCACATTGTTGATAC